TACATGAGCCATGTGGGCGACCTTCGGCGACCTGCTGATTAAAAACTGGTAGCAGCAACTTTATTTACGCAGCGTAAACATCAGCAGTGGCAACAGCAGCGGCAGCGGCAGCGGCAGCGGCAGCAGCTGCATTGAAAGGCAGTCATGATTAACTTTTAGATAGGGTCCACACACACACACACACACACGCGCACACAATGGCTGTGTGGCTTGGGATCCTAGCTTAGGCAAAGACGTGAGGTCAGATATGCTCGACGGCGCATGAGAAACAAGCTAAAACTCACTCGAATCTCTCTCTCTATCTCGCTCTCTCTCTCGCTCGCTCTCGTCTCTGGTTGAGGGCAGCAATTGAAATCATATTGCACGCGCTTAAAATATGAATGAACTGCATTCATGTTGAGCACACACAAATACACACCCACACACACACACACACACAGAGAGAGCTCTGGCGACACAGAGCAGCAGTGGGATGTGGGCATGGCTACCGTGCGCTGCTAATTCCACTTGCCACAGGCTCATCATAATTGTTGCAAGTGCAAGCAGAGCGCACATACACACACACACACACACACACACACACACACACACACACAGATCACCCGCACATGCAGTGAAAGCAATTAAAAAGATGCTGGCGACCTGCTAAATATGTTGCATACTTTTAGGTGGCATCTCTGCACTCGATGCAGTTATAGCCGGACACATATTGCGCCGACTGGCCAAGGGCCATGCTGATTTTCGACTCACATGGAAAACGCATTCAAGTTGCACGCATTTCAATTTCCGACAGCATTTCTGGTGTCAAACAAATAACTTGCAACATGCTACACAATTGTGGATTGTAGTTGCAGCAACCGCAGCTACATAGCTGCATTGCTGAATCATACTCACACACACACACAAAAACAGTAAAAGTAGTAGTAGAAGAAGCAGAGCATTGGCCAAAAACATGCTCACAACTTGCGCACACTCACTCCTGCTGTTGTGGCCGCACGAGTCGGAGAATGTTTTACATCAATTCAATTGTAATTTGCATTTTTTAAGTGCTTTTGATTGATTTGATGTGGCGTTTGCTTTGCGGCACCTAATTGAAACTGGGCTTACAGTGGGTGGAAGGGGATGATGTATATATGTATAAATATAATATAATA